AGATTACCTGTTGTTTCTGTCAGTACTTGTTGGTGCCTGTGCAAAGAGCCTGCGGCAGGTTACCTGTCATTACCTGCTGCCTTCCTACATCCCACGGCTTTCGTGAGGGTCAAATGAGGTAGCAGTAGGAATCAGACTACAAAAGATCAAAGCGGGAGCTTGTTATTTTGGCAGCAACGTGGATTCAAGGAGGGCAAAGCCGGGAAAATGAGCTGTGCTGATGCTAGCAGGTCCTCCTCCTGCAGAGGGTTCTAGAACCCCAGGGCTGGGAGCCCTGGTCGATGGCCAGTTCTCAGCCAGGCAGTGTGGGCTGGGAACCACAGGCAGACACGGACAGTGATGGATGGGGTGGCTTGTTCCGGCACATTCCGTGTTCTTTCCCACCAACTCTGCCTGGCCTTGGAGAGCTGCTTCCTCTGTCGATGGATTAGTGACATTTCGCTGGGAACTGGATACCCGTCTGGGAAAGACACAGGGAGTCCCTCGGGCCCTGGGAGCACAGGGTCTGGGAATGTTCTTTAGTGCTGGGAGCAGCAGGCAGGGGGTGGGGAGATCTGACCGTGAACTGGAGCAGAAAGCCCAGATCCCAGGGGCTGGAGAGGACAGGGCGCTTTTGCCCACCTTCTCCCCTCTCTCTCACTAGAATGTCGTGAATCGGCTCCTGCACACTCAGACGATATCAAGACACCAGCCACTCAGGAGCCAGCAGGCCCCCATCCCTTGTGCATCCATGATGGGAAAGACAACAAAGAAAGCCCCTGTAGAGGGTGGGGACAGCCCGTCAGAAGATGGATAAGCACAGGGGTCCGATGGCCAGGGCAGGCCTTGGTCTGCCTCTCACAGGCTGGTGACCTTGGAGAGCCAACACCTGGGCCCTGACAGCGCTTTCTGGGGACGCTGTGTGGACGTGCAGGGCACGAGCCCAGCTCCGACTGGGTCTGAGGACACCTGAGAGTGGACACTGGAGGAGGGAGGGGACAAAGAATGGGGAGAGAACGAGTGTCTTGTGGGGCTGGCCCAGGTTTACGGGTGGTGGTTCGAACTTGTGGGAGCTCTGCCCTCTGAGCCGGCTCATGCTGGCCCCTCAGCAGCCTTGGTGGGAAACGGGGAAAGGGTGGCCCTCTCACTGGCACCTAGAAGCCAACAGTAGGGCCCTCCCCTGGACTCTCCCATTCCCCCCATACCCCGGCCGCTCCTGCTCTCACTGGCTTATGGGCACAGGGTCCCTCCTGGACGTCCCTACGCTGGCTGCCTTGGGCAGGAAGGTCGTGTGAGAGCTGCTGGGGGTCTGAGCCTCCCAATGAGTCTGGGGGGACCCCGAGCAGCCTTAGCTCAGTATGAGGCCTTGAAGGGGGGCAGAGCAGGAAGCCAGCACAGGGAGAACAGAGTTACCCCTGTCTGGTGGCTCCTTAGAGTGTAGAGAGGCACCTGTGTTTGCCCTGCAGGTAAGGCCTGGTGAAGCCCATGTGCAGGGAAGCCGCTGAAGGGGTTTAGGCCAGAGAAACCGGGTGCGCACTCCAGACCCGCTCCAGCTGCGTGCAGAGCCCTCAGTGGCTCCCGCTGCCGTGCAGGCATCTACGCTCACCAGCCCAGCCCCAGCTGGCCTTCCTTCCCGATTTTTCTGTGCAACCAGAGGCCCTGAGCACTCGCCTCTGGCCTTTGTGCTCTGTTCCTGGCCCACAGTGCTGGTCCTCCTCATCTCCACACCACCTCTGCTCTGCACTGAGACCCGTCGTTTCCTCCTTCCCGAGGCGGGGTCTGTGCTGCGGAGAGCCCGAGAGCAGGGACCCAGCACATGAGTTGCTCTATAACCCTTTGCCGCATTTCACTGAGTGCTCCTATGTGCAGACGCTTCACCTGATCTCATCGAGCCTCCAGCTGCCCCTTATGGAGGCTCGGAGATGCGGTAACTTGCCCTAGGTCACATTGCCCGGAGGGAAATAGAGCCAGGACTCAAACAAGATTCGAGAAAGACTCATGAGATCCCGTGTGGCACACCTATGGTCTAGCATGCTCAGGACCCACAGTCCAGGCAGGAGCTGGGGCAACGTGATGCCTCTTCAAAAAGGAGAAGGGTGCCTGTGGGTGACAACCACGAAACCCTGCAATCCCATGTGACTGCAGGGAGGCACCCATACTTGCTGTGTGCCCTTGGGCAGATTACTGCACCGCTCTGTGCCTGCGAAACAGGGTTTTGGTGAGAATAAAAGGAGTGATGACTGTCCAGTGCCGAGAGCAGGACCTGCCTCCTCTCCTACGCAAACAGATGGCCTTGCGTCTGCCTCCCTCTCCTTTTCACCCAAGGTTGCTGGGCACCAGCGGAGCTCTGCCTGCTCCAGCCTCGAGTCCCAGCAGGCACTGTGGCATGAGTGTATCCTGAGCCCGCTCTCGGGCTGTGGAGACAGTGCGACGTGCCGAGTTGTCCTGCCTGGACCCTTCCTCCGCCTCTCTGACCATTGAGGGTTCTGTTAACAAGCTCCGTGTAAGGAGTGTCAGTACGTTGAGTGGCCCTCCCCAACGGGGTTTTCCTTTATCGGCTTTTCTGGTCTGTTTAGTCTCTAAGGCTTCCGCCAAGCCCCAGTGTGGAAGGGCTTTGGAAAGTCAGAACAGGCCTGCGGCCCGTGTCCCAGGTTGGCATCCGAAACACCCTTCCAAGCATGCTGGTGGCACTGCCTGCCCTGGGGTGGCCTGGTCAGATGAAGGGCTGGCCAGGACAGCCTGCACCCTTAGGGGTGGCCCAAGGCCCACGGCGGCCAGCCACACTTGCCTTCTTTGGTTGTCACCAGGGACTGGCCACCGGCCCTGCAGCCAGGCATGGTGTTGACGGGCCCCACAGCTGCAGTGCACATGTGCCCAGCCATCAGCCTCCTGACAGGCTGGCTGTGGGGAAGGGGGAGCGGGGTGCCCGGCGGGAGGGAGGCCAGCGGCTGCAGCTGAGTGGACAGCAGGTGCTGCGAGGCTGGGTGACGGCTGATTCTGGCTGCTTCCCTCCATGGGCCCAGCAGGGTGGGGGCTTCCCTCTCACCCCCCGGGGCCCTGGAGTGTGGAGGACTGTGAGAGCCCCTCCCTGGTGCTGCGGACGTGTGGGCATCTCCTCTCTGTGAGGGGGAGGTAGGGAGAGATGAAGGGAGGTTTGCACGGCATTGAGCATGAGATAATGGTCATGCCATTTGTGAGCATTATTAATCACCATCCCCAGAGGCGGGCCACCCCCCCACACACACATGTCTATGTGTCTGCCCTGAGCAAGGGGCGAATGGGGGGAGAGCAGAGGGAAAAGAACTGTAGTCACACAGTGACTGCTAAGGGCATTGAGCCTTGATGGCGGTTCTGCCCCACCATCTCCCTGGCTCTGGATGAGACCCCATCAGCGTTAGCAAGACAAGCTCAGGGCAGGGTGGGCTGCGCCTCCTTACATAACAGGTAGAGAAGGTCCACCTCCACGGCCCTGAGCAGCTGGGCCATCCGAAATCCCAGCCTCTGCTTCCAGGTCTTTGTGGCCTACACGGGCGGGCCCTGGCTGACCCTGTGTTAAGATGGAGCGGGAGGTCCAGTGCTCACCCCCTTCCACCTGCAAAGAATGCCCAGGCAGCTGCTGGCTCAGGGTCTGTGTGTTTGGCCAGAGTAACTCAGAGGCCTTTTCCTCTGGGTCCTGCTTTGTGGGGCCGGGAGCTCAGGCCCCACCCAGGTTTCATTTTGCCACTTCCACCCTCTCTCCACACAGCTGGCCCCTAGCAGAGCATCAGACCACATAGGACTTTTGACAGTTTCCAGGGCCTCAACCCTTGAGCTACAGACCACACCTTGAATGGGCAGACCGAGACCGGCCTGAAACTGACCATGTCCCCAGCCTGGCTGCTCCCAGGAATTGCCCAGGGCCAGGAGATGATTAGAAAGGAGTTTCTGGCCCTGACCGGTTTGGCTCAGTGGATAGAGCATCGGCCTGCGGACTGAAGGGTCCCGGGTTCGATTCCGGTCGGGGGCATGTACCTTGGTTGTGGGCACATTCCCAGTAGGGGGTGTGCAGGAGGCAGCTGATTGGTGTTTCTCTCTTATCAATGTTTCTGACTCTCTATTCCTCTCCCTTCCTCTCTGTAAAAAATCAATAAAATATATTTAAAAAATAAAAAATTAAAAAAAAGGAGTTTCTGCCCTAACGGTTTTGGCTCAGTGGATAGAGCATCGGCCTGCGGACTGAAGGGTCCCGGGTTCGATTCCGGTCGGGGGCGTGTACCTTGGTTGCAGGCACACCCCCAGTGGGAGGTGTGCAGGAGGCGGCTGATTGGTGTTTCTCTCTTATCAATGTTTCTGACTCTCTATTCCTCTCCCTTCCTCTCTGTAAAAAATCAATAAAATATATTTTTTTAAAAAAGGAGTTTCCACCACCCCATGTCTCCTGGAAGACCCCCATTCCAGCCTGAATGGGGCCTCAACCCACTGCAGCAGCCTCACCTGGGGCCCTGATGGAAACACAGGTGCCCACCCCACACCGGCTTAATCAGAAATGGGGGTGGGGAGGCCGGCATGTGCATCTGAACAGGCCCTTCAGGAAGTGCTGGTGGAGGCTGCCTCAGTGGGTGCCGCCCGACTCCCGGGTCCGCAGTACCAGAGCGCCCACCCCCCCAGCCCAGGGAGGATCCAAGCCCCGTGCTGGCCAGCCTAGGGCTCTTGCAGCCTACCTGAGATGGGCTGACCCAAGCCCACCCTCTGGTCCCAGGTGGGTGAGATATCAGCCACCTGTGAACACACCTGGGGCTTATCTGGGATTGGCCAGGCCCTGGGGCCGGATCTGGCTTTGTGGGCAGAGACGGAGCCACCTTGGGTCCAGCTGGGTAACCCCCACCTGGGTCTCCAGCAGCACAGTCCCAAACCCAGCTGCTGGGGGCCGGGGCTTCCCAGGCACGAGGTGTGGCTGGGGAGGCGCTGCCCCCTCCCCTCTCCGCCTGCTTCACTGGCTTTCTCTTTTCTCCCCTCCCGCACCCCGCACCCCGGCACAGCAGTGGACAGGAAGGAGAAGAAGGCTGCCGCCATGCCTGACTCCCCCGCGGAGGTGAAGACACAGCCCCGGTCCACGCCCCCCAGCATGCCGCCCCCTCCACCCTCTGCGTCCCAGGGCACCACACGGCACTCCTCCTTCACACCCCACACAAGTGAGTAACTCCAGGCTGGGCACCACATGGGGCAGAGCAGAGAGATCTCTGGGCCCTTGAAGTTGCTGAGGTGCCAAACCTCATTTCATGCTAATAGAGCCGGTGCTCCGGTTCCTATGCCCTTAAACATCCACCGTTGGGCCCTTGAAAGGGAGGGTCCATCATGGCTGAGGCCAAGCTTTGAGGTTCAAATCCCAACTCTTCCACTTCGTAACTGTGGGCCCTTGTGTGAGCTACACAACCTCTCTGGGCCTCATATTCCTCATCTATACAGCAGAGCTGGCTATAGCCCCTGCCTCGCTGAGCTGCTGTGCAGACAAGTGAGTTAATAGAAGTTCCTACCCAGTGGCCGGCATATCGTGAACATTCCATCAAAGTTGGCTGTTATGTTTGGAACTCGGAGAGGGTCGGGACTTCCCCGTCAGACAGCAGGTTACGGGAGTGCAGGTGAACTCAGTCAGGCCTGCGCCCTGCTGGAGAGCCAGCAGAGGCGGCTCTGGTCTCAGAGGAGCTCCCCACGGGCTCTAATACCAGGGGCTCTGCAGCCAGGCCCCCGTGGGGGGTGCAGGTTGGCCAGAAACTGGGGTCAGCAGGGTCTCAGCTGCCAGCAATGTGGTGGGTAGAACAGACCCTTAGGCAGTGCCTCGCCAGCCCTGGGTACATCCAGGTTGAGTGTCTCGACCCTCACAGCAGCTCTGGGTCCTCCAGAACCCACCACCACTGCTGGAGTCTGTTCCTTAGAGTCAGAGAAGTTGGGGACTCAGTGATTTGGAGTCCTGAACAGTTGGGAAGGAAATCCTCAGGTTTGGGCCAGGGGCTTAGCAGTGTGTCCTAAGGGTTTCTGATGGGCATTGGAGAGAATCTGTGTACCACCTCCACACCTAAGGACCCTTCCCCAAGCTTTGAAACCCAAATGAAGCCTCTCTGGTGTGGCAGGAGCCGCAGACTCCTTAGCCTGTGGCTCCTGGTCTTCACGGGGCTAAGAAGTAAGAGCTGCTGCCTCCAGCCAGGACCCATAGCTCTGCCCAGAGCGTGGGGTGAACTACAAGGCCGGTCTAGATCTCTATGTCTGGACACAAAGGGCACTGGGTCTGCCACCCAAGGCTGGCCCCAGCTTCGTGGCCCAGCCTCCCTCAGGAAAAAGGCATTGGCTGTGGGGTCAGGCTCGGCCCCTTGTTTGTAGGATATTGGCTTAAGCCAGTCTCCTGACCCTCCGAGCCTCAGTTTGATAAATGGAGTGCTATCACCTGCTGCCATGTGTGGCAGCCTGAAAACAGGGACATCTCAACACACAGTAGGAGCTGAGTGGCCAATACCCTTCCCTACACCTTCGCTTGGCACAGAAGGTTCCGGCTCCCCCTTTCTAGCAGGTCTTAGCTAGGGTCCCCATGCATCACAGAGACTGGAACAGGTCCTCAGCCCTGCCTCCTGCCCCAGGACGGGCCCAGGGCAGCGGGCTCTCACTCCACAGTTCTCAGCCCACAGGTCCGTGTCTGCCTTTGTCAGCCACACTAGAAGGGGCCAGAGGCTGGGCTTTCTCACACACAATTCTTGCGTGGCACTGGCTGCCTGGTCACCTGCCCTCTCTTTTGGCAGAGTCAGTCCTCACCTCTGACTGGAACGCAGGCAGCATCTCCATCTACTCAACAGCTGCCACCCCGTCAGGGCCCCGTAGGTAGAAAGGGGGGGGGGGCGTGAGTTGTATTTAACGTCACAGCCTGCACCTCAGCCAGGGAGAAAAGGAATTACTCCTGCAGGGCAGCAGCAGCTCCCAAGGAAAGGCCATGGGCCACCACCTAAGGCAGTGGTTCTCAACCTTCCTAATGCCGCGACCCTTTAATACAGTTCCTCATGTGGTGGTGACCCCCAACCATAAAATTATTTTCGTTGCTACTTCATAACTGTAATGTTGCTACTGTTATGAATCGTCATGTAAATATCTGATATGCAGGATGTATTTTCATTGTTACAAATTGAACATAATTAAAGCATAGTGATTAATCACAAAAACAATATGTAATTATATATATGTTTTCTGATGGTCTTAGGCGACCCCTGTGTTCGGTTCCAAGCAGGAGAAGCCAACAGACACTTGACGGTCAGGCCAAGGCTCTGAGGCTCATGGGCACATGCGTCTCCCTCAGCCTACTTTTCTCTAGGAGCCCATGTTCCAGAAAGCAATGGTCTGGGAACCAGATGTTTCAGGTTGGGGACAGGGCTAAGGTCAGCTGACACCACCCCCGTGTGCTTGCAGGAGGCCTGTGAACAGGTGTGCGTGTGGGCAGAAGGCCTGTGTGCGGCTCAGGGTGCTCCCCTGACACCCTCCCATCCCCATGCGCCCCCACCACTGCGGGCTCACGCTCCTGGATTCGAGGTCCCGGCTCTATTTAGAGCACAGAGGTCATAAGAGACAAGTAATTCTTTTCTAAGCTGATGCTTTAGTTTCACTGGGCTGCTGGGGCCATCTATCTGGGTGTCAGGCCACCTCTAGGTGGCCTCAGATTTGTTCCCTACCGAAGAATTCCCTGAAAGCGGGTGGTTAACCATGTCCACGCACCTGGCTGGTGGCAGCCTGAATGGACGGAGCCTCTGTGCTCAGCCTCGGATTCCTGCCAAGAGTCTCTCCAGCTTCCCTGGGACCAGCCTGTGAGCCAAGCTGACCAGAGGCTGACCTTGAACCAGGGCTGGAGGGCTGTGGTTTTCTTGCCCAGTGACCGCCCTAGGCACAAATTCATTTTGGAGTTGAAGCTGTGGTGTGGCTAGGGAGATGGACAGGGGGGCTGAGGGAACTCTGGGAAGGAATGTAAGGAGCTACTCTGCAGCTGGGAGGACCCTCAAAGGGCTAACACTCCAGCCTGCCCTTGATTACCCCATGTGACAGGGGGCTCACTTTCTGATTACAGCAGCATAGCCTGTCTCCTCTGGCCTCCACTCACTAATTCCAACTCAAACAAATCAAATCTTCTTTCCTGTTTGGTGCTTCCTCCCCTCATGGCAGTTCGGTCCTGGGCTTCGTTTCGGAACCATCATTGGGCTGTCTGTCGATGGAGACCCCTAGCCCTGATTCATAAGTCAGCTCAGGCTCCGGGCCCCTTGAGGATGGTGCTGAGTGGGGTGAGCAGGCACCTTCCAGGAAGAGAACATTTTAAGACCCAGGTACCCCACTCGTGCAGATAGAGATGCCAGAATTCTTATAGGCCCCTGGAAGGCCCCACCAGAAATGTCCTTAAGAGATCCCATAATCAAGCCCCATCATGTAACAGAGAAAACTGAGACCTTCAGAAGGGAATGACTGGCCTAAGGTGGTGACAGTCCCAATCCCCAAAACTGCTGTCATAAAGCAGAGAGGGGAGGGGCCGAGTGAGACACCCCGCGGGGCAGAGCCACCTGCCCGTGGCCCGCTTCCTCACAGAGTGTTTTTCTTATTTTGCTTACAGATCGAGAGGACGGGCCTGCGATGTCCCTGCCCCACGGCCGTTTTCATGGCTGCTTAAAATGGTCTATGGTCTGTCTTTGTAAGTAAAATAACAAAAACCACAGGCCTCGCAGGAGGTCCTCACCCGCACCCTCTGCCTGGGAAGGCCTTGACGATGACCCCACTTGCCTACACAACCCACTATTGCGTCTGCATGTCAGTGAGGTCTGAGGAGAGGTCCGAGGGGCAGGCCCAGGAGAGCAGAGCAGTCGGAGTCCTCAGACCCACAGTCACCTCCCAGCCTTGCTCCTCACGACTTGTGTGACGTTAGGCAGGTGGACACCTTCTGTGTTCCTTTTTCCCGATCCACAAAACAGGGCGGATATGGCCGATCCCAGAGTTGTGAGAAGGTAGAATGTCAATGCAAGTCCGTAGCTTAGCAGCTCAAGGGCAGACCCCAGCCTGGGTCAAATCCCAGCTCCTCCTCTTCCCAGTGGGGCGACCTTGGGCAGGTACCACCATCTGTGCCTCAGTTTCCCCACCTAGAAGTCGTCATATGCTGCTGGTGGAGTCGGCGGGAGGCCTGGCACATACTGGGTGCTCAGGGGACATTATGGTCACTAGTGGACATTGCCGTCAAAGTGCTCAGGCCACGGCCAATGTCCATAACAGGAAGTTTTCATGGAGCGATGCTCAGAGTGATGTCAGCCAGCATCAGGACAGGCACCCACTGCAAGCCGGTTGGACTGCGCAGCCCAGGCGTGGCTGCCATGTAGCTCCCGGCTCCAAGAGGAGGTGACACAATGACTGTGCATTATTTATGTCCTGTGATGCGTGGTCCTCCTCGCCATTATTCTGTGACGCCTGGCCTTGCTCTTGGGTCCGGCCGTCGCTGCGCTGCAGCGCTATCGGGACGGTGTGATTCCCAGCCCCAGAGCTGCTTCTGCAGCGGGGAGAGGGGCTGGCAGGGAGGCTGTTTGTTGGTTCATCATCCCAGCCTGACCCCCGCCCAGGCCCAGGGCTGGGGAGCTGCGGGGGTGCTAGTGTGTGCCCCCAAACCTCAGCCGGGGACACGTGTGCGGTCTAACTTAGTAACACACCTGTTGTGGAATGAAAGCACTTGTGGCCGGGGGTTATTTTCGGCGTCTCTTTAGCAAGCTGCTGAGACTGCCCGGCAGCCTGAGGGAGGGAGCACGGGCCAGCGAGGGCAAGCAGGCCTCCGGGAGGACCCAGGCACCGAGGGCAGGCTGGTAAGGGAGCTGCAGGGAGGCTGGGCCCAGGCTGGGCCAGGGGCCGTGGGTGGGAACCCAGGAAGCATGGACAGCCACACATCTTAGAAGCCTCTGGAAGGTCCAGACCCCAGGTGATAGCCCAACTCTGCCACTCGGAATGAGCCCCCCACCGCGGAGAGGTCTCCCGTGGCAGGGGGCCATCTCCCGGCCTGGCTGGTGTGACCGCTGGTGGCTGTCATCAGTCTTGACCAGGGTGTGTGTGTGTGTCAGGGTTCGCCGTGGGGTTGGCTGGAGCTCGCTGGTGAGACAGAAAATTAGCACAACAGTGGAGTCTTCTGGTCTGTCCAAGGGTCCTCTGGATGATGCCTCAGACTGGGGGAGGACGGGGCCTCTTCCTGTCCTGTGTTTGGAGTTCTCTCTTCATCCCAGAGTGAGCGGGAAGGCTGAGCAAGGCGCACCTCCCTGCGGGACTATTCCAGAGCTGGTGTCACTTCTAGGGTCCAGAAGGCGCTCCTACGATCATCCAGACCAGGGAGGCAGACAGGTTTCCACGCGCATTGTGTCAGCCCTGCCTCATCAGCGGTTTCCGAACTTCTGCTAAGTGGGGGCCAGTTATTGATGAGTGATCACCCACATGTGAAAGCAATCAAGGCCAAGCGTTTCTGGCTCCTTCCATGGGTAGAAGAACAACCGTGGTTCTATCAGCGGCAGAAGCCGGAGCAGAGGGGCCCAGCACTGTGGAGTGGGGAAGCTCCACCCCTGGTTTGGGCCAGGGGTCATTTGCATATAAAGAAACCAAGGCCAGGCCCCAAGTCTCACCCCCATCTAAGCTAGTGCAGGTGGTATAGGGCCTCAGACAGGGTGCCCACTCCCAACCCCCGTGCAGGGAGTGCCCACAGGGAGCAGGCAGATGAGCATACAAGGGGCTGAGTGTAAGAACAAGAGTGAGCCGCCTGGAGCAGGTGCCGGTGTGGTAGCCAAGGATGCAAGGTGTGAGTGGCTCCCAGGTTTAGCAGTTGAGCCTCAGGCCTCCCAGAAATATCCAGCTTCCCCACCCCGAGTCCCCTCCACCCTTACCAAGGGCCCTGGGAGCCTGTGACCTCTGACCTCTCTGTAGACCCCAGTGGTCATCGCTAGGGTTTCTGAGGCTAGGGGACAGGGATGCGGGTGATCGGGCACAGAGGGCTCCCTCGCCTCCAGTGTGAGAGCTTGTCACCCAAGGCTGAGGGAGGAGTCCTGTCCTGGGACCATTTCCCAGCACCCCTGGCCTCTGCCAGCCCTGGGACACCCTGGATGATGCCGCCAGGGCCTGGGTAACTCACAGCCCTGCTCCTGGGGCCCTGCAGTGTGAGCATGTGGGTCCCTTAGGTAACTTGCTGGTTCTCCACATACAGCCTGCGCAACAGCACCCGGCCCAGGGGCTCCCCCGCCAGGATCCAGCCCCACTTGTCCTGGGGTGTCAGGGTCCCTCTGCCCCACCCGAGTCCCATCAACACGGGGATTGGAGCCCTTGTGTGGGCGATGGCACCTGTTGAGAGTGGGCACCTCGCAGGGCTGTCATGGTGGAGGAGGGTGGAGGAGGGGTCTCCCCCGAGGAGAGGGGAAGTGGGCCAGCAGGTCCCTAATAGTGGAGAAGCCCCTCTGTTCACAGCAGACACTGAGCAGCCTTAGGTGTATGCCTGGCGTCCCCCCTGGGTGTGGAGGGTCTGACCAAGCAGCCCCCACTCACTGAGACCTGGGACGAGGCTCCACCTTTCCAGGCCCCAGATTACGCATCTGTAAAGGGTGTGGTGCTCCCATGGCGTCCCTGTGACTCCAGGCAGGGACTCTGGCTCTCTGCTGTGCTCCTCACTCCCCTCTCCCCCCACAGTAATGAACGGCAGCAGCCACTCGCCGACAGCCATCAACGGCACCCCATCCACGCCCAACGGCTTCAGCAATGGCCCAGCCACCTCATCCACAGCCTCACTGTCCACACAACACCTGCCCCCAGCCTGCGGGGCACGGCAGCTCAGCAAACTCAAGCGCTTCCTCACCACCCTGCAGCAATTCGGCAGCGACATCTCCCCAGAGATCGGGGAACGCGTCCGCACGCTTGTGCTGGGGCTTGTGGTGAGTGGGGCAGCATGGCCACAGAGGATGAGGCTGCTGAGCGGGGACGCGGGGATACTGGGTCGTGCCCAGCCCTCGGGCCTCCTGCCCTCTTCGGGCTGGGTGGACGGGGCTTGGGCTGATGCGTGGTGGTTTTCTCCCCTCAGAACTCTACACTGACCATTGAGGAGTTTCATTCCAAGCTTCAGGAGGCCACCAACTTCCCACTGCGCCCATTTGTCATCCCTTTCCTGAAGGTAACAGCAAACCCTGCTCCCTCGTGCCAAGGCCTCCCCCAGGAGCCCCAAGTTCATTCTCTGCCAGCTCTGACCAGGCATCATGCTCAGCCATCCAGTACCCAGGGAACAGCTCTGACTAGTTGCCAGACCGGATTAGTGGGCCACCAAACCCAGTGCTGTAAGAAAGCTCTCCAATCAGTCCTGTTATTATTTACTAAAGGCCCGGTGCACAAAATTCATGCACGGTTAGGGTCCCTAGGCCTGGCCAGCAATCAGGGCCAATCAGGTTCCCCGCCTCCCAGCCTCCCCGCCTCCTGCTTCCTCCTTCCCTCACTCTCTCAGTGCCCAGCCACCACAGCTGGTCACCTGGCATGTTCCACGCTGCCCCCTGGTGGCCAGAGCACGTCATAGCAAGAGAACGAACTCCTGGTCGAACTCCTGAGGGGACAATTTGCATATTAGCCTTTTATTATATAGTATTGGCCAAAGACACTTGTCTACTGTACAGCTATTTTTTGAGCACCTATATGTGCCAGGTACTGTGCAAGGCTCAGGGAGATAGCAGTGAGCACAGCAGACACAGTCCCTTCTGGAGCCAATGGCCTGGTGGGATGGGAGACAGCCAACCAGCAATAGCTATAAATTCTGTGATGTGTGACACAAGAAGGGGCAAATGATGAGGGCTGCGGAGGGGAGGGAGGGACCCCGGTGGAGAGCAGGGCACAGAGCCTTCCAAGCATGTGCAAAGGCTCTGGAGAAGGGTGTGCCTGCTATGTTTGAGGGGTAGTGAGGGGGAAGGGACAGAGGACAGATGGAGGGACAGGTGGGTGGACAGACAGATGGTGGGTGGTATGTTGGTGGAAAGGTGGATAGATAAATGAATGCTGTCAGATGTAAAAAAAAAAAAAAAAAAAGGTCGTGTGGTCAAACATGGAAGATAAACAATGGACGTCGTGTGGTCAAACATGGAAGATAAACAACGGACCAGGCCTCTCAGCAGGAATAGCTGGTATCTGGTGGCAGCACCAGGGGCTTATGAGCCATGCAGGTTCCTGGGCTCGACCCAGACCCACTGAGTCAGTACCTACATTTCCACAAGGACAAGCACAGGCCTAGACCGTGTTACAACGGAGTCTTCACTCCCCTAAACGAGGATCACCCCCTCCCAGAAGGGCCAAGAGGAAACAATTCCCAAAAGTGTTTGACCCCATGACCCTTTGCTGCCGTGCACCTCCTGAGGTCAGGGTTCCCTGGGGCTCTCATTTCCCAGCCTCTGAGATGCTTCCAGAGTGGGCCCTGCTCACCGCACGACCGGGCCCTGGTAGGACAGAGCAGACGAGACACTCCCAGGTTTGAGCCCTGCCCCTGCAGCTGAGCCCCTGTTGGCCTGGGCCAGGCTGGTTCACCCCTCCATGCCTCATTTTCTGCAGCTGTAAAGTGGGAATCATTTTCAGGCTGTTGGCAAGATTGCATGAAGCAATGCACGTGAAGAATTGACTTTTGTCATCTGGGGACTTAAAAATGTTTTGCAGACAAGGCATGCTTTGCAAAACACCTTCAACACCGCCCCTGCTGGCCCCCAGGATCTCTGTAAGGAGGGGTGGCACAGGCATAGTTCCTGATTAACAGGTGGGGAAACTGAGGCCCTGAGGTCTCCCCCACTGGTGGAGAGATGGAGCCAAGGCTGGAACCTGGATCCATCAGACTCCAAACACCCCCTGCTTTTACAGGGTATGTCCCAGACCCACACCTTGTTCCCTGCAGTCCCTTGCCAAGGGAACCCCACTTTGTGCCCCCACATCTACACCCTCCCTCCCTCTCTCCTTCCTGCCCTTCCGCCCACACCCCACTGAGCTCACACTCCTAAGCTGGCGACAAAGAGGCTGCTGGCATGGAGCAGGGTTTGGGCCCATCTGGCAGTCATTTGCAATTCATTAGGAGCCCTTCCCTTCTCTCTCCTCCTTTCAACTTACTGCTGACTCCACCACTCCCCATCTTTGGGGACACAGTGCGCCTGCTTATTCTGTCGGATCAAATATTTACAGCAGATGTCCAGCCCGCCCGCGTCAGCTGCCCTTGTTTATCCGAGGAGCAGGGGTAGGGCCAACATCCGCGTCCCCTGCTCTCCCCAGCCAGGCCTTGCCCAATGCCCACTGTGCCTTGCACCCCAGCATCCTCCCTGACACACCCCCATGAGGCGCTAGACAGGACATGCCCAGCCTAGCACGGCCTGCTGAGGTATCTCTCTGCCTCAGTTTCCCCTCTGTCCACAGCAGCTCTCCTATGCTATTAGGGCTTCTGTGCCTAGATTGCTCTTTCTATAGGGTGAGCGACCTGCCTGCAGCACCGGGGGCCTGGGATCCCACCCAGAGCCCTGGGTTGACAGGACTGTCAAGGACACAGTCCATTCCTCTCACTGACATGCAGCTCCTGGGGGGCAGCCAGTTCTGTTTCCGGGGGTTGTTGACAAGGCCCTGGCCTGTCCCCATGGTCCTGCCCGGGGAGCAGCCCCTATCCTCCTTGTGGTAGGAGCTCTGGCCCCTTTAAAACCCAGAGCATTGTGGGGGATCCCAGCAGGAGTGCCCCCTGCCCGACCCACTGTGTCACCTCCTCCGTGACCTTCTCGGGTACGATGGTGCATTAGGCCCACTGTGTGGGCAGCGTGCGGTACCCGACGGCGGGGCCCTTGGAGCTATCGTACTGCAGAGAGGCAGGAACTCTGGCTGAGAATGCAGCTCAGGCTCAACCCCCAGCTCCACCCATGGGCTTCGGAAAGACTCTGGCCTCAGTCCTCTGCCCGTCACGGGGGATGGGACAGCCACCTCACGGGTTGGCATGGAGGAGTTAATTCATAAGAAGCTCACAGGAGCCCTTCGCGTCCAGGACGGAAGGCGCAGGTGCTGTTCACAGCTCCAGTTGCAGATGAGGCAAAAGCCAAAGGAGTTAAGTGACTTCCCCAAGGTCACACGGCAAAGCAGGGGGTGCTGGCCACGGGCATGCTGTTTGTGGAAGATGTCAGCTCCACTAACACCGTTATTGTGGTTGTTTTTGCAAACACTGATTTCCCTCTGAAACAGAGTTCCCATCTGTGAAGAGGGCAGTTCCAGGCTTTTCTGCAGCGTCAGAACCTTCATTCAGACAGTAGAGTCCAGGTCCAAAGATCTTTGCCACCAGTTTAGTCTGTCCAGCACCAAAGTGGTGAGGCCTCCCTGGCACCTGGGCCTTTGGGGACACAATGGGAACTGCTGCCTGGAGGGATCTGCCAGTGATGGCCTTCCACAGTCTCTACCCATTTCTTCTGGGCTGGGGTCCCTGCTCCCCCACCCAAGGACCCTGGGCCCCCTGCACCCTTTCCTGAGCTCAACGCTGTGCATGGCTGAGTGCTGGGGCTTTCCAGAAGCTGGAAGAGGCTGCCCCGCCCAGCCAGCCTCCACCCGTGGTCCCGGCTCCCAGCTGGCCCCAGCCGGCCAAGAATCCAGATGTTTCTACCACCCCAACAGCGACCAGCCGGTGCCTGTGCAGTCCCGCCCTGCCGGCCGGCCAAAGGGAGGCTGCGAGGGAGAGGAGGGGCCAGCCAGGGAGAGGAGGATGTTTGGCGTCTTCAGACCTCCCGGGACCTCCTTCCCCAGCTCATGCTCCTAACATGTTCGCCAGATGGCGGGCTGGCCCGCGTTCAGCTATCCAAACAGAAAAACAGACCTGGCAGCCGGCGCTGCTTGACAAAACTGCATCGGCTGCTTGATTGGGTCCGGGTGTGCTGCTGGGTTCTGGGGAGGCAGAGGCAGGAGAAGGCTGTGTGGCAGCTTTGAAACGCCATGAGAAAGTTGGGGAATTGTAATTATTTACAAATACTTAGAACTCGGGCTCTCCCAAGTGGCCTGCTGCTGGGCCTCCATCCAGCCTGCCACCCCCTCCCCCACAACCCCACTCACCACAGTGGCTCTGGGAAGTCTCTTTGGAAGGCACATGAGGAGCCCATTGGCCACCCGGCAGGGCATTCTGGGAGGCCCCAGAGCCAGGGCAAGGGCACAGGCAGGAGGGCATAGTTGCTACAGGCAGGATCTGCATTTGAATCCTGTGCATCCGCACGTATCACTCCACACTCTGTGCCCAGTGTCCTTACCCATAAATGTGGGACCAGTCACAATGCCCATCCCTGAAGGTTGTAAGGACCATGGGTGGTGCAGCCACGGGCAGTGACACATGTGGCTGCTCAGAGTGGTACTGCACACTGATGTGTGTAGCCCAAACGCCAAGCTTTGTTCAAGGCTGTGCAGGGGCTTCCCATCAGCACGTATGGGGGTCCAGAGCAGACACGCTGGAGTCCTGCTCCCAGCTCCTCCATCTGTAGTTAGCTGTGTGCAGGGCTGCCCACCTCCTCGCTCAGAGCCCTAGTTTCCTTCTCCACACAGTGGGTGATCGGGTGCCTGCTTCCATGGGCGCAGGCAAGGAGCCGTCATCATGGTCCTCTCCTCGCCTTCTCCAGATGCCACCGTGGGAAGGAGCTCAGTGAAGTGGAGAAGCCCCAGCCTGGGAGACCAGGATCTGGGCTCAGATCCCCTGTACCCCAAATCACTGTGTTCCCTGGGGGTGGAGGGGGCACACTCTTACCTAGCCTTCCTGCCTGCCCTCGTACCCAGGTTGTAGTGGAGGAACTTGATACCCAGAGAGGTCATGCGCCTCACCCAAAGTCACACAGTGAGGCTGCGCTCGCCCGAAGTCACACAGTGAGGCTGGCCGTCAGCCTCCCGGCCTGGCATCAGAGCAAGCCTGTGCACCCTGTGCCCTGACCCCCATCGTCAGTGAGCCCACGCCCACCCTGTGTCCTCCCCACAGGCAAACCTGCCCTTGCTGCAGCGTGAACTCCTGCACTGCGCCCGCCTGGCCAAGCAGACCCCTGCCCAGTACCTGGCCCAGCACGAGCAGCTCCTGCTGGATGCCAACGCCTCTTCCCCCATTGACTCCTCGGAGCTCCTGCTGGAAGTCAATGAGAACGGCAAGAGGAGGACACCTGACAGGTACTTGGGGGTGTCTGTGGCCGGGGAGGGAGACAGTGAAGGGACCAGTTGGCTCTGGTGCCACAGCTCACCAGGCACCCTCGTTCCAGTGCTGAGAGAACTGGGGTCAATGCTATTGCCCGCAGCGAGTGAGCAAGCTGGTCAAGTTCAGCCTTACCTGCAAGGCCACTGCCCAGGCTGACTCAGAGAGGCTGCCCTGCCAGGCTGTGGGGAGGTCTCCTGAGGACTCAGATGTCCCCCTGGGGGGACAAGGGGATAGGCAGGAGGGGAGTCTGGAGAGAATTCCATGGCGATTCTCTTGGTGCTAGATGTGGACCCCAAGTGCCCAGGAGCCTGAGGTACCCGGGCACATGGGCTGGCCTTCACTGCTGGGTCACAGAGATGGGTGCTTGTCCTGCTGCCAGGAGAGGGTGTCCCCCTCTCTTCGTTCTCTCAACAGACGTTCAGACTTCATGACCATTAGGCCCCAGAGCCGGTACACCAGGAGCGGGAATCAAGGCTGGGTCCCCAGTGGACTGGTTTCATCTCTCCCTGTCTCCCCCTTACTCTTTCTCTCTGTGCCCACCACCTCTCTCTCCCTCACCTCTCCTGCTTGGACTTCTATCCACGGCTCCTGGTTCTGTGACCACTGACCTCCTGCCCACTCTCTTGGCCAGGACCAAAGAGAATGGGTCAGACCGCGACCCGCTGCACCCTGACCCCCTCAGCAAACGGCCGTGCACCCTGAGCCCTGCCCAGCGCTTCAGCCCCAGCAATGGGCTGCCGCACCCCACGCCGCCACACTACCGCCTTGAGGACATGGCCTTGGCCCACCACTCCCGTGACTCCTATCGCCACCCTGACCCCCGGGAGCTTCGGGAGCGCCATCGGCAACTCAGTGAGCAGTGTTCTGGGGGCAGGGGTTGGCATGTGTGTGCATGTTAGTAGGAGCACACGTGCACCTGTGTGTGGGGAGAGCATTCAAGAGCCACTGTGTGTATGTGTCAAAACGCAGGGGAGATGGGTGTAGAGAAAGGATGTGAGTGGGGAACTGGCCCCAGGGCACAGAGGGGATCCCCACCCTGGCTGGGTTCCGGAAGCTTCTGAGGGAGAGCCATCTTTCCCGGACCTCCATCTGGGGGGCAGTTCAACATCCTCACCCTCAGGGCCCAAAAGGTCCCTTCCCTCCCAGGGGGCATGATTGTGAGTGTGCCTGTCCTGGGGCCCTGACTGGACAGAGGCAAGCACAGACGGGTATGGGGCCTGGGGACCTAGAGCCACTCAATTTGCCCTTGGCCCCTGAACAGGTGTGTCATCTCGTTATAGAGACAAGAAAAGGGAGGCCACCAGGCTCTGCAGCTGGGGCAGAGAGAGGGCAATAAATTAGCTTCCTGGACCCAATTTCCACATCGGGGGCTGCTTCCCACACAACATCAAGCAATCCTTGGATGACAGCATAGTGTCCTGCGATTGAACTCAATTCTGACATTCTACCTGGAGACAGCATAGGTCCCATAGGCTAAGGGTTCGGTCCTACAAGACTGCCCACCCCCTTCAGATGCCAGTCACAAGTCCAGGTTGTCACCTGTGCTTCTGGCCAACCGACTATAAATCAGAGGTTCCCACAACCCCCACCTTGCGTTCAGTTAATTTACTAGAATGGCTCACAGACTCAGAGAAACATTTACTTACTAGATTACCTGTTTATTATAAAAGGTTACAACTCAGGAACAGCCAGGTGGAGATGCAGAGGGCAAGGGATGGGGAAAGGGTGAGGAGTTTCGTCCACCCAGAAGCTCTCCAAACCTTCTTTGGAGGTTTTACGGAGGCTTCATTGCCTAGGCACGATTGAGTAAATCACTGATTCAACCTCCAGCCCCTCTCCCCACCCGGAGGTCATGGGTGGACTAAACGTTCAGCCCTCTACTCCCACGGTTGGTTCTCTGAGCAACCAGCCCTCATCTTGTTCTAAAGGCAGCTCATTAACATTGAGAAAAGACACCTGTATCACTCTCTACGCTTAGGAAATTCCAAGGGTTTGGGAACTGAGCCAGGAGCCCTGGATGAAGACCACATACGAGAGCGATATTTGGCAACTGAATGACCAGTTGCTTATTTCCTGCGGCGCACAGGCCAGCCAGGAGAACCCGTTTATGGGAAGTTCCAGCTTGTGGGGCCCCCAAGTCACAGGAGCTGCAGCCCCTGCCTCCCAGGCACTCCCGCAGGCATGGCTGGGCCCCCTGAGGGAAAGCAGACGCCCCCGAAGACTCAGGAGCTCTCACTGGGCCCACCGACCACACATGCCCATCCTGCTCTTGAAGCGGGATGACAACAAACACCAAAACACCAAATTCATGAGAGCGTGGGCACTGGGAGGAGCAGGGGTTTCATGGTGAGCGCCAGGGCTGGGGACTGCCTTTCCTCTGAGCTCCGAGGACGCCCTGTGATACACCCTTGGGCAGGTCACATGACCTCTGTGCCTCCGTTTCCTCCTCCGTTGGCGGGCTCTAACAGGAGTCTCACCCTCAGGGTCGCGTAAGGACCGAGGGAGTTAATCCAGTGCAAGTGGGGGCTGTGTGGCCAGCTGTTATAGATATTACAGGCAGTCCTCGGGTTACGTCGGACTCGACGTACGTCGTTTCATGGTTACGTCGCCGTCTCCCATTTACAGTATTTATTTAAAAAAAAAAAAAGTTCCATCATTTTGACGTATGTACATATGTGCTTTATGTTTCTTATTTATTTACCACAAGTAAAGGTCATGAATTGTTATCTTTCTTTTCATTTTTTTTTTACTGTTTCACTTCATTCCTGCTGTGTATGTGCTCCATGTGAGCCACGTAGGTGCTTATGTAGATGAGTTCCGACTTACGGCGAAAATCACGTTATGTCGCGCCGTGGGAACGGATCTCCGACGTAACCCGAGGACCTACTGCAGTGGGAAAAAGTCTAGGGTGGAGCACTCACCTCTTGCTTGCATTGTCTCCTTAACTCCGTTCTTAAAGGGGGCCGTGACGTGTTCTCAGATATGTGTGATATGTCAGCACACCATATCACAGACGAGGAGACTGAGGCCCAGAGATCATAACTGACATGCCCAAAGTCTTCTGGCCACATCTGCCTGACCACTGACCATCCCTGGGGGACAAAGAGATGGACAGGACCAGCTCCTACCCAGAGTATTGGGGGACAGCCTAGAAACAGCAGCCTCTAAGATAGAGGCCCAGGACACGGAAAGGGGGCCCAGAGGCAGGGTCAGCAGAGGCCTCACTCCAGACAAGGCCGTCTCCTCGCCCCCACCCCGCAGAAGCTTCCAGGGCCCCGGCCCAGGCAGCAGGTGACAGTGTCTGGCTCCCTGTGGCCGGGTCAGGCAGGTGCTATCCCCACCCGCTTCTGCTAATGCAAAAATAGACACCAGCTGTTGGGCAGATCTCAGCCACTATTTTGGTTGGGGCGTTGGCGAAAGCTCTGGCTCCACGGGCAACGGGGCAGGGCTGTGGACAGCGGATTGTGGCTGCCACCTCCCACCCCTTCGGCAATTTGGAGAGGCATTTTGAGTTTGTGGGTCCAGAAGACCCTTAGGAGCTGAAGAAAGCCTACATAGAGAGACCTTAACCCAAAAGCATTCATGGGCACTGCATCACCCAACATAGGCACCCAAAACAGTGGGGGCAAGAGCACTGGGTAGGTCAGAAACTGTGAGAGGAGCCGTCGTGGGGACAGGTGCTGCTGCACTTGTGCTCATTTCACAGCTCACGATGGTTCTGTTTCTGATTGGGGGAACAATTGTTTCAGTCCCTGGAGCCATACCAGCCAGTGGCTGAAGGAACAGCTCTGCTCAGGCTGACCTTGGGTGACCTTGGGCAAACACGTCCCCTTAAGCAGCCTCCATTCTCTCAGTTCTCTGAGTTCTCTGTAAATTGGAAATGACAGCAGAGCCTCCTTCAAGGTCAATGCAGGGATGAAAAAGGTGTAGAGCACTTGGCGCAGAACTGCTTATACCCGGGCTCTCCCCACCAATGTGCCTCCTAAAAGTCTTCTCACGCCCCCTGAGATAGGTGGGGTAGGGAAACTGAGGCCTGGAGAGGGAAAATGAGGGTCCCAGGTCCCATAGGGAATGATCGTCAGGACGACTGGCTTCCTGAGCCCCCTGTCTCCCAGGAGACCACAGTTGGACTGGTTCACTTGAGACCCAGCAGATAAGCTGGAGCACTTGCTGGGTCACATGGAACTTAAGAAATTCTGAGGGTCCAGAGCTACTGAGGAGGAAGGGCTCGAAACCTGGGCTTTGATGCATGCATAGGAGTCCAGCTGGCTGAGAGGAACCGGTAAAGCCTGGCTGAAGCCAGGCAGTGGACACACGGAGGCCCTGAGAGCTTCTGAGCAGGGTGGGACCCCAGAAGTGAAGTCTGAGTCTGGCTTGGTTGGCAGCAGAGGGCAGAAAGAGTGAGAACAATGGGTTTTGGAGGTAGGGAGGTAGGGGAAGGGTGGCCAAAGCCAGAGCAAGGATTGAGGACATGGGTCTTTTACTCTCAAGCCTTCAGTAGAGGCCAGGCCTGTTCCTTTCTTCACCCTCCCCATCTTACCCGGGTGGGCACAGCCTATGGAGGGCCTAGCCCAGGGCGGAGCTTGGGGGAGTGTGGGGTAGGGCCTGGGAGCATGGGGTGGGGCCTGAGTGTCCCCTCTCCTCCTGCAGTGGTCCATGGGTCACGGCCAGAGGAAGTGATCGACCACAGGCTCACTGAGCGCGAGTGGGCTGAGGAGTGGAAGCACCTCAACAATGTGAGTGTCCGGGCCGGGGCACAGGTGCCACAGTCCGCCCAACCGGTGGGGCTGTGGGGACAGGGCTCGGGTGGGCTCCCCTTTGCTCTATGCCCACCTGGGGGGCATGGGGCAAGGCCTTGGGGAGAGTGGGCCCTGGGAGCATGGGGGTAAGGGGAACACCCATCTCAGCCCACCCTCCACTTCCCGGTCCGCCCCTCAGAACCTTCCCTCCTCTGCCCCTGCAGAGTCTCCGGAAGGTCACTTGGTGTAGGGGTGGGACCTCTTCAATACCATTTCCAGGTTCATCCTTGGCCCTGCTTCCTTTTAGGGGAAAAGCTAGGCAGAAGGTGTGGTCCCAGAGGTGCTGGCCACATCTGCTCCGTGGAGCAGACTGCACCTTAAGGTTTGCAAGGAGGGCCCCATACAAAGACTTAAGCCCCCGCCCCTCATGGCCAAACCTCATGGACAGTGGCCTGGCCAAGGCCCAGGAGTGTGGGAAAAGGGCCCTGCATGCTTAGGCTGCCCGCCCACCGCCCACAGCTCCTGAACTGCATCATGGACATGGCCGAGAAGACGCGGCGGTCACTCACCGTGCTGCGCCGGTGCCAGGAGGCTGACCGCGAGGAGCTCAACCACTGGGTCCGGCGCTACAGCGATGCTGAGGACACCAAGAAGGGCCCCTCAACCACCACCGCCCGGCCCCTCAGCAGCTCGACAGGAGCAGAGGGGTCTCAGCTAGGTGTGTGCTGGGCTGGGAGGGGACAGAGGGAGTGGCAGAGAGAGCAGCACGGGTGGTGCAGGGGCTGCAGGGCGCATGAGGAGGGTGCCCGGGACTGTGGGGAGCAGGGCCCGCATACAGACTACAATATAATACCACCCAAAACAGTTTCACTGGGAAAAAAGGTACAAAGACACTGCCTGACCCACTAGGAAGCAGACTCAAATCCCAGTGGCTCAACACACTGAGCAGGCAGAGGTGGCGAGTGTGGGGGAGAGAACAACGCAGAGCCCTGGACCCCCCAGGAAGCCCGGACTCAGAGTCCTGTGGGCTCCACTCATCCCCTGGGTGATGGCCATGGGAACCAAGAGGGGCTCAGGATGGGCCCAGCACCCAGTCAGGTCCAGAGCATCCCCCTCTATGACGCTGCCCTGCCCCCAGCCCAGCAACTGACATCGTGTTTCTACCCATGAGTACCTCAGACCCCCGCCAAGAACACACTCACACATGGCCCTGTGGCCCCGTCCTGTGTGTGACACCGGCCCCTGTGTTTCAGACGTGCACCGGGAGTTCATGCCTAGGACCCTCTCCAGCTACATGCCCGAGGAGATCTGGAGGAAGGCTGGTGAGTGGGGGCAGGGGGGCGGAAGCTGGGGCCTGCAGGCCTAGACTAGACCCTCTTGCCCTCTCTGCAAGGAGCTTCTGGTAGGGGGCTCACCTGGCCCCAAGCTCAGGGCTTCACAGATGGGGCTTATGGAGGGGTCAGGGTGCATTTCGTATCTAGGGTAGGACGATTGCCACCCTCACCTGCCAGGGAACACCATGCCCAGTAAAACAAGCAGGGCCTCAGGCCCAACATGCACACGAGTGTGCACAGACACACACACATACGAGACAGGCCCTTAGAGCTGGAATCTGGGCGTAGTGTTGAGCATGGCAACGGGAATGCTGCGGGGGACATTCATTGCATCGTGGGAACAGACTTTGGGGAGAGGCTGGGCAGGAGCTAGAGCCTGTGGCAGCGAGAGAGAGAGGCGGGCTCAAGGGTGGTGGCAGTGCAGAGAAGAGGCAGGATCCCGACATGTTGGGATTCGTGGGGTAGATTCAGTGTAGAGTATGATTTAGAGGGAGGCAGTCTCAGGATTTTGAAAGCAGAGTGGGGGGTCCCAGCTCAGAGTTGGAGGCTAAGGGGCCAGGCAGCAGCAGCCGCCCAGGTCGAGGCAGGAAGGCGGCCTGGACGGGGAGAGGCGGGTCCTCATTTCCCTTGGCTGTCCCCTTCACCTCCCTCTGGCCCACAGCAGGGCCTCATGGGACCCTTGGTGACAACCATGTGGAGCTCGGGTGGTGACATGGGGACAGGTGGCTGCAGTTGGCATTGCCAGCAGCTCAGCACACAGTGTGCAAACACTTGGAACAGAAGGCTCAAGGGCCATCTCTGCCCCTTATATCCCACCCCAGCCTCCTTCACACCATGCTGCAAGAACAGCACTGCCAGGTAAACTGAGGCAGGCCTGAAAGGCTGTAGGGTTGGCTTAGTGGGGGCAGAGGGGTCCGTATTGTTCCCAGTGTCAGAGGGCAGGGTGCCATCTGAGCAGACGCTCTGGTCACAGTAAGAACAATGCACTGACTCCTCAGACATGAACAGGCAGAGGTGGTAAATGTGGGGGAGATCACAGGGTTTGGGGGGGAAATAACAATGCAGAGCCCTAGACCAGGCATTCCCTGGATTGCATCCAGACAGGCCACAGGGGAAGGCAGACTGTCTGTGGGGCAGAACAATACAGCTGTGGTTCTCAAAGTGGGTGCCAAGACCAGCAGTAGCAGCACTTGGAACTTGTTGGGAATGCAGATTCTAGGGCCCTCCCCAGGCCCCCTGCATCAAATCTGTCACTGCTGCTGGAGTTTGAGAACACTGCTGGAGATGAGCTTGGAGATTTGCTCCATGGCCATGCTTGCACACGATGCAGGGATGCATGTGGTCCTTATGCACAAGCCCGGCCCCCAGGGTTACGAGCGGGAGGCCCAGGAGACCTGGTAGGCCGGCCCATGTGACCATGGCCACATGTCCTTTGCAGAGGAGGCGGTGAATGAGGTGAAGCGGCAGGCAATGTCTGAGTTGCAGAAAGCTGTGTCAGATGCCGAGCGGAAGGCCCACGAGCTCATCAGCACAGAGCGCGCCAAGATGGAGCGGGCCCTGGCCGAGGCCAGGCGGCAGGCCTCGGAGGATGCCCTCACTGTCGTCAACCAGCAGGAGGACTCCAGTGAGGTAGGTGCCCACCCCACACCCCACCCCGAGTCCAGGTCCAGGGCTGTTGCGCCGTCTTGGCATCCCCATGAGCTCTCAGGGCCTCTTGAACCCACACAGCCTGGTGAGAAGGGTCCTATGGGTGTCCCCATTGGGGGGAGGGGGTAGCTTGCCCAGGGAAGTGGCAGGGCCTTGATTTGCAGCCAGGCTTGCAGACACCGGAGCTCATGCTCTCTAACCTGTGAAGCAGGAGGCAAGAGGAGGATGTAAAGACCCAGGTGGCATCTAAAGCACCTCCTCAGCTCCCGGCACATGTGCACACGCGGGAGGGTGTGAGGTTATTATCATGCTGGTGTTTGACGTGAAGCCTGCAGCATTTCCGGCTATGGACCTGTGTGGGAAGGAGGGTGGGGTGTCAGTCAGGGCCCCCTCGCAGTGACGTCTGAGCAGTCCTGGAGGAAGTGAGCCAGCATGCAGGAATCAGGGAACAGTGTCATCCCAGGAGGGAGCAGCAGGGACAAAGGCCAGATGGGGGCAGGCACAGCTGGCGGAGTGAGGACGGCAGGAGACTGACGTGGCCGAGCCAGAGTGAGCCAGGGACAGCAGGAGCTGCTGGGGCCCAAGAGGCTTTGGCGGTTAAATGGGCACCTGGGCCTGTCCCCATGGCAGGTTTGCTTCTCTGTCACATAGCCTGGGCCTGCCCCAGTGTCCCTGCCCACCTTTTACGCACGTGGCCGGCTGGTAGAGAAGCCCAATGGTAGGGGAAGGATGTGACTGAGGCAGGCCCGCCATGCACCCCACGTTGGAGCGTGGCCATCTTTGTTCTTCTGGGGCCCCTACATTCTGTGTTGGAGCCCTGGTGGGGCAGGAGGGCTGCCTGGAAGAGAGGGAAGGGGCAGTGGCTCCCTGCCCTCGTGAGGACCCTGTGGTCCTGTAAGCCCAGCATGAACCTCTCTGGGTGGGCTAAAGGTGTGCAATGTAGTGGTGCGAGCCCATTCCCCCAAAATGCCCCACCCAAGGGGCCATGTTCGCCAACGGTCACCACAAGCTGTAGCACTACGGGGTCTCACTTCACACCCTGGCTGGGTCCAAGCCCATTTGTGTAGACGGTATCTTTCCCCATTCTGCAGCTGGGCTGGGGACTTTGGGGATTTGGAGTGGCCCAGCCCTGACCATCTCCTCCACCCAATCCAGAGCTGCTGGAACTGTGGGCGCAAGGCCAGCGAGACGTGCAGCGGCTGCAACGCAGCACGCTACTGCGGCTCCTTCTGCCAGCACAAGGACTGGGAGAAGCACCACCACGTGTGCGGCCAGAGCCTGCAGGGCCCCTCAGCCGTGGTGGCCGACCCGGTGCCAGGACAGCCCGACGCCACCACCAGCCTGGGCCCCTGCCTGCCCACGGGTGCTGCCAGCCCCAGTGAAGCTGGCTCCACGGGGCCCTCTCGCCCTGGCTCCCCTGGCCCACTGGACGCCGCACCCCGCTGACCCCTCCTAGACGCGCTGCTCGGCCCACGGACATGCGCCCACCAACCCCGCCGAGCCCCAGCTGCCGGACACTCCGCCCGGCCCTGGGAGCCCGACCATTGGAGTCACTGCTGCTACTGCTTCTCTCCAAAAGAAAACACAGAACCAACAAAAAATGCATTCAACGCAACTTCCTCAGCTACCTGACGATCTCACGCGACAACCTCTTCAAGCATCCTCAGACCCTCCCCCGGCTTTAGACCACGGAGGGACCGGCTGGAGCTCCGCCAGCTCGTCCACTGCCCTTCTCTCCCGCTCCCTCCCGCTCCCTCTCTCTACCTCTCCTTCTCCCTCTCCCCCTCCTTTTTTTTTTTTCCTGTCCTTATGACTTTCACACACTTTCTCTTTAATGAAAAAAAAAACTAGTTGTTTGGTGGCTTATATTTTCAGTGAAGAATTTTGGGGGATTTTTATGGCAAAAGAGCCACTCAGAAGTGGACTAAGAAAACTGTGGGGGTTCCCCCTTCCTAATTAAAAAGGGGAAAAGAAAACTGTTGTTTTATAGCCGGAGATCTGAGCCTCTGCGTCACCGAAACTACCCCAAGGGTATGTGGCTGATTAGGTGGAGATAGTAAGAAAGACTTCAGTTTCTGACCCAAGAAGCATTTTTGGTTTCAGATTTTTTTTTTCCTTTAATGTCAAACTCTTTGGCTTTAAGTAGAGATCCAAAAAGTTTTTTAAAAAAGTAAAGGAAGCATACCTGTAAACTACCTTGCCAGCTAGCCAGCCAAGGATGCCGCACACACCTCTGCTCCAAAGGAAATCCAAAAAGCAAACACGAGAAGTCAAAATCCAAAATTTGTCACTGCCAAAGTATTTTTTCACTGTTTTACTCCACTCTTGGGTTTGTACAGATGTTGGTCTTTTCTTTTTATTCTGTTTTTAGAGTTTGGGATATTGGGGTTTGGAGGGTTTTGCCCAACAAGAAGCGACTTTTGTTTCTTTTTGACTAGACGGCAACGCCTTTGCTGGGCACAGGGCGGTGGGTCTCGAGCCCTCAGCACCCCACCCGCCGTGCGTGTGTCTGCGTGTGCACACGGGGCATGCCTAGCCATGCACTACACGTGTGCAGGGGAAGATGCCTCCATCTGTCCTCACGCCCTCTGTGAATTTTCATCACATTTCATTTCTTCCACTTGTGAAAAAAAGTGCTAACGTGTCCTTCCCAGAGAGAGCATAATTCTGAAACAAAACTGTGACAATCTTTCGGGTTGATTCTTGGGTGCTTTTCAAAGCACGAGGAGACAGCAACTGCGCCAATAACGACTGCTTCTCCGTTTTTCCTCCTCTACCTCTTCTCCCCTCAGTGCTGCCCCACCCAACTCGTCTTTGCCCCATCGCCACCCTCCACCAGTGTCCCCTGAACCTGTTCTTCTTTCTTCACATTTTTACAGAAAAAAAAAGAAGGAAAAAAAAAAAAACTCCAAACAAGAACAGTCTGCCCTCTCCACGCCTTCTGGAGACTTAGTCGGCTGTGTATAACCTCACGTTTCTGTCCAGCTGATCATCAGTGGGGATGTCCCCTCACTCTAGCTCTGTCCTCCCTTCCCCACTCAACTCCCCCAAGCGATCTCAAGGAGGAAATAAAGGAGTAAGGAATTCTCACCTGTACTCAGTGGAGAACAAACAGCAGCATGGTCCATGATCTGGCATTTTCTTGCATCGCTGTGAGAAGTTCCCAGGACTGGAGTGCAATACAGAGAGTGACCAGCTACTGAAACCGGGGTTCCTGGGGGGCCCCACCAGGAGGCAAGAAGTCAATAGTGTACGTTAATGTGAATGTATATAGTCCTTGCAGAGGTCCAAATAATGATATTCATGATGATAATAAAGAAGAGATGTTTGCCAAATAAAAAAAAAATTAAGAGAAACTGCAGAAGTATGTCAAGTGTAGGAAATCGATTTTCAAAGAAATCTGAACTGTGGTTCTACGGGGAGCAGTGGGTTGGTTTGATTATTGTTATCTCTTTTTCAGAGTTGTAAGATTCATTCTTTGAGTGTTGAAAAGATGGATTTCATCTGGGTGCCACAGACCAGGTGCCACCCCGAACAACACCTGACAGTGAAAACCTAATTCTGAAATAGACCTAATTCCAAGATAGATCTCTTTATCCTCCAGAAAGTTCCCCCTCCCAGCCACCATCTCCGAGGCCTGGTGAGTGGGTCTGTCACACTCTCAGAGGTTTGCTTTCGTGGATGTCAGGAAAGCAAGGACCAGTTTGGGATTGGGGCTCTCACGACAGCGAAGGCTGCTATCGTGTTCCCAGCCTGCCGTCCTTCTCTCTCCTAAGTGTCGCATCTATTAAAACGGCAGCTGCGGATGTGCAGTGACATGGGTTTGCTTCCCCTTGGAGGTGGGCGCTTTGGACTCTGTTCCCACGAGGTTTGCTGCTAAACGGGGTGTCTGGAGAGTGTCTGCCCAGGGCACGCTGGGGGTCTGGTGCAAGAGGGCGAAGGCCCCTAATCACTCACATCCCTGCCGTCTGGACTTGGGGGTGAGGCTGATGGTCTGATGGAGAAGCCCCTCACCTGGAGACCCGCAGGTTTGCCTTGAAGGCCTCTGTTTCCCTTCCCCTTGCATGGTCCCCCTTTGGGGACAAGCAGGTTTGCCAGGGACACTGGCATGTTGGTCAGCTGGCAACGTCCAGGTCAGACCAACCTCCAGGTCTGAACCAGGGGCTGAGGGCCTGAGGTGGGACAGCCCCTCCCACCCCAGCAATTGGGAGGAGGGTGCCCTCAGGCCATCTACAAAAGGTTTTCTGATGTGGTTCTCACATCCAGATCCCATAGTCCAAGAAGCCACCCCTGGCGGGGCTGCAGAAACCTAGCATGAGCGGCTGGCCATAGGCCCAGGGCAGAGCCCCTGTGGCCCTAGAGCATCCTCAGGATCAGGGGATGGCAGCAAGGTGGGGTGGGGGTTGCCGTGAGGAAACCAGACCCAGAGTGGGCGGGAGGGTGCTGAGCTGGCAATGGCTGTGTCAGCCCAGTAGGCAGCTCCTCCCACTCCTCCTGCCCAGGGAGTTGTGAGGAAGGTGCTGGCGCTCCCTTCCATGCTCAGAGAGCTGGTGTTTCTGTCTATCGCTGTGCTTAGGCCCCGTGTGGCCAAAGACCTCACAACCAAATATGGCATCAATAGCTTGGGGTGGGGGGTCAGAGCTTTTGCATTAGGACTTGGACTAGAGGCGCTAAACATGAGTGTCCATGCGGCACCTGTGTCTGCACCTGGAGCACTGCCTTTCTTGTGCAACGAGGGGATCTAGCCTCCTGCTGTCTGCTCAGGGGCTGTTCTGCCCTGGTACCTCCTGAGCTTTGGCCAGGGGTGTGGCTGCCAGGGTCTCCTCTCCGCAGGCCACCACCACTCAGGTGACCCAAAACTCGGTGAGGTGCAGCTCTCGAAGAGCCTCCTTCCCTCCAAACCAAAATGGCAGCTTTACCTCCTGAGGCCAAAACTATGACAGGAAGGCGGCAGCCAGAGCCCACAGCCCACAGGCGAGGGACAGCAGGATGTGTGCCCACACCGGGCCCCTCTCCTTCACCCCGTGTGGAAAGTACCCTGGTGTGTGACCCTCAACATTTCCCATCCCCTCCTCTCATCTCCTTATTTTCCATCCTGTCCTGGACCCAGGCTGGTCTTTCTCTTAGGATGTGTCACCATCCCAGGTGGTGTCTGGGGGGTATTCTGTTGGCAAAGACCAGCGCCTCCCATTACATGCATGGACAGGCTAGCATACCCCAGAGCGCACTGAATAGGGAGGGCTCCATCCCCAGGCTCACCAGGACACAGGGGAGCCAGGACCGGGGACAAAGAGAAAAGCTGGAGCCTCAGGGGCCCAGGAGGGTTAGAGCTGTGGGACAAGAGAAGCAGCCTCCCAGGAGGGGGCTCTCCTGTGGGCTTGGCAAATGGGGTCACTCATCAAGGCCCCAAGAGGTTCAATGGAAGAGGGAGATGGATAGGAAAGGGGCAGGAAGGTGTTGGTTTTGGTTTTATCCCAGCGACATGGTGGAGAGGGATCGGCTCAGGCCCTAACTTTCTCCTGTTTGCCAGTTTTTCCAAATATATCCTCAAAATGACACCAAAGCCTTGTCTCTGTCGTCTACCCATCTTGCCTATCCCAGCCCACTCTAGCTCTCATGTCCAGCCATCATTCTGCCCGTCCCCTCAGCCCATCTACAGTTACTTATTGATTCTCTCTTTTCATCAATTCATCCTTTTGTCCAGACCAGACATGTGTCTGGCTATCCATTCACTTATCCACCCACTGACTCACCCACCACTCATCCATCTATCCGCCCATCTATCCATTCATCCATCCATTCATCCATCCATCTACTCATCCATCCATCTATCCATCCATTACTATATCCCAACCATCACTTGATCCCATCCTCCCCCATTCATCCTTTTACCCATCCGCTCGTCTCTCCACCATTCATCCCTATGCATGTTTCTATCCACCCCTCCTCCAATCTAACCCATACAACCATATCTCAATCCATCCACCTCTGCAGCCACTGAACCCATTAGTAGCACCACCAACCCCCTTCATGTTCCAAAGCTCGAGGGTGCTTTGGATCCTCCTCCCATGACCTGAGCTTTCTCACATCTGTGGGGAGGTCCAGACCTGCTCCAGAGACAGATAAGGTTCTGTGACAGGCATTATGGGCAGACTGGACCGATGTCCTAGCAACAGCTCTGGCCAGTCTGGGCCCACCTGGAAATTGTGGTGGCCATGGGCCAGGAGTGTGAGTTGGGAAGTGGCCCATATACCTGCTCAGGGACCCTGTGACCAGAGCCACCAGTCAGGGTGAGCACATTACCTGGCAAAACCCTGGCATTGTAGCCTGGGCTACACCCTAACATTGTAGCTTGGGCTGCACCCTGACATCCTGGGCTACACCCTAACATTGTAGCCTGGGCTGCACCCTGGCATTGTAGCCTGGGCTGCACCCTGGCATTGTAGCCTGGGCTACAATGTCTCCAGGGGTCACTGTCCCAAGGAAAGGAGGGGAAGAAAGAACCCAATGCTGACCTCCCTCCCAACACCAGCTCCTGGAGCCCCTTCTCCCGGGTGTTCATGGTCACACTGCCCCACTCCCATCCCCATCTTCCATGCTGGGGTCCTGGACAGCTGGAAATTAGCTCTTCAGAGCTCTGAATGATGCAGGAACAGGCCCTGCCCAGGCTGAATTTGGCTAATGGTGGGAGGTGTGCCTGGGAACCTAGAGGCCCAGTAGGGGCCCCCTGCCCAGCTCTCCCCAGCCCCATCAGCCCATTTCCACAGGCCCCCATGCCACATGGAGCAGTTTCCAAAAATGGGGCTGTGATCAAGGTCCTGGATTATGGCTCTGATGGCAGGAGAGGAGGGAGAGCAGGAAAGCAGAGGGGGTGCAGGAGCTAGACTCTGAGGACCTGTCTGCTCTCTGGACACCTCGTAGATAAGGTCTGGGGGAGCTAGATGCCTGTGACAGCAACCTATAATGGTCCCCCAAAGTTCCAGAAAACACTATCTTGCATGCTTCTGTTCCTTTTGTTTCAATTTGGCTGGCCCCTGGAGTGCCACCCCACAGACCCCTTGTAGCAGTAATGCAATGTTAGGACTCAAACTGGGGCCTGGTTTTTAAATATTAGAATGAAGGCACTGGGTGCCCTTGCTCCCAACCTGAACAGGGCCCAGCCAGGCCAGCTGTCGGCTCACCCACTGCATCCTTTGCAGGCCTAGGGGTTTGGGCGTGGAAATGGGACTAGGGCACAGCCTCACACACCTCATGGGGAACACATTGATTTTCCACTTCCTCTTCTCTTTTTATTTTTTAAATTCCCCAAAAGGAGTTGGACAGTGAGTGTTGGGTCGTTTTCCTGTAACGGGTTTTCCTCGCGCTGTGTAGGATCCGTGGCATGCCGTCCCTGTCGCGTGTCCTCTGATGTACTCTGTTTGACCTGGACACTGTAAGACGTTATAATTCAGGTCACGTCAGTTACCTCTGTGTCGTGTAATAAAGCCAACATTTGCCATCACGGCTCTGCCTCTCCTTGAGTTCACGGCGACTTGGGCTGTCCTGTTTCACACATTATTCACCAAATGTGTTGGGGGCTTTCTAGGTTCCAAACAAGAGAGACAAGGTCCTGCCCAAGCAAGTGAACAACCGTGTGGCGTACGTTGGAGTGTGTATGGGACGCGGGCAGACCCGTTCAGTACACCCCCAGCCTCCTGTATGGTGAACTTTCAAAGGTTGCTTCCTCAAGGTGATCTGGATGACCTTGGACCCCAAATGACACCCATGGCTTCATGGGCCCCGAGCCCCACTGCCTGTGGCAGTGCCAGGCACCTCCCATAAGACCCTGAGCCTGGACACTAAGGGAAGGGACACCTTGATCCTAAGGAGCCAGAGTGTCAGCCATGGTGCCCCAGTTCCTGGGGCAGGTCCCATCCAGAGTCGGGCGCCCAGTACTCAGCACTCCTGGTTCACAGGCAGCCCCTGGGGGAGGGATGTTATTAATACTCGAGACCAGGTTTGGAACATGGTGTATTTTGAAAGGCATCATTGGAAAGGCCAGTGTGGAGGCGAGGCTGTCCCCACGCCAGGCGGCTGGCGGGAGCCCCAGCTGGGCCTGGTGTGTCAGCAATCTCAGCATAGAGTGGGATGACAACGTTTTTCCATTGCAGAGGCTGAGCTCAGAGGGAGGCTGCCGGGCCCGGGCCTGAGTCCAGCGGCTCTCGGCTTGGACACAGCACCGCGATGTCCTGCCTCCCACGTGGAGGTAGAGGGAAGGGCCCTGACCAGAGGCCCTCCATGGGGTCTTAGACCCACAGGAGGGAGGGGACCAACTGCCTCGTGTTAGGGAAGAAAGACAGGCTGTGGCTGCACTTCCATCCCTGTCCAGCCAGCCCTGTCCTCAGTGCAGACTTGGACGCTGCCTTGAGGCACCTTGGCCTGTCAGGAGAGACCTGGGCAAGTGTCATTTATATGGGACAGACATCAGGCGAGGTCCAGGCACAGTGGCCACAAGGAGGAGGGACAATCAGGGAGGCTCCCTGGAAGTAGTACAGTGACAATAGTGCCCCCTAGAGTCGTGCACATGTAAATGTGGAGACGGAAAAAGGGGAGAGTCAAGGACCTGCATTTGAGCTGGGAGGCCAGCACATACAGGACCACAGCCTGGGGCCATGAGAATCTGCCTGGAGACCACCTTCTTCGGGGACCAAGGGGACACCATGCAGTTTTCAGCTCAGCCTCAATGGCGGTGAGAACAGAACCGGGTAAAGGGAAGGGGAAGTCAGACAAAGAGGCAGGGGCCCACGCTTGCCAGGGCTGGGGCGGGAGCCACAAGTGTCCCCACTTCCAGGACAATGTCTCATCCCCTCACACCTGCAGCCCCCACCGCCCCCCACACCCCGGGGGAGGAATGCTACTCCAGCTCCAAGCTCACAGTCCAGGTCTACTGTGGCCTGCAACTCTCCCCCCAGTTCCAAATTCCCAGGGAAGAGACCCCAATTAGCCAAACTTGGACCTACTAGTTATGCCCTGGAGTAGGCAAACACACTAGAAGGGCCCCCCATAAAAATGCCAGGAGGACAGAAAAGCCACAACAGTAGCTCCACCAACGCTGAGCCAGGCGAGGACAGATGGAGGAGACCAGGGCACACAGGGACACGGGCCTGCAGCTGCCCTCCACGGGCAGCAGTGAGGAGCGGTAGAGGCGGAAGAAGCAAGCTTTATAAATTGCCTTCAGGTGCCCAAGATCCATTGCCTGATCTGCACATAATTCAACCATTGTGTCCTGTAGCCAGAGCAGGATTCTGGCTTCGTTTATGTAGCTCCTACCTAAAAGCTGATCCAGAACTGGAGTGGGGGAAGGGCCCATGGGGAATGGATGGATGGATGGATGGATGGGTGGACCTCTGACCCCTGGGCAACCACCCTGTCCTCACCCCTCCAGGCCTTTGCTCAAGCTGTTCCCTCTGCCCAGGCCGTCCTTGGCCCCAGCTCTCCCTGACCCAGTCCATCAAATGTGGCTCAAATGCCACCTCCTCCAGGAAGGTTGCTCTGAACCCTATACCATCCTTCCTCCTTCTGTGCACTCGGATAATTTGTTCATGTCTGTGTCATAACAGGGCCTACCACTGAAGTATAACACTGATCAAGGTATGTGGACTGGCGACTCCAGTGAGCTTCCTGGGTTGTCATTGCCCGTGGCTCAGGCCTTGAAGCCTGGCTGAGCTGACACAGGGGAGGCTCCCCTGGACTCTGCCTCAGCTGCACTCCTCTCTCCAGCTGGAGAGTCCTAGAGATGCCTGCCCAGTGAGTAAGAAGCGGACGGGCCGGTGTCCATGGCCTGTGACTCCTCAGGGCCCAGAAGCCAGTCTGGAGTTTGGCTGCAGCTGGAGGCCTTTTAGGTGCTTAGTGGGAGCAGCTGGCCTGGAGGGGCCTAAAACCCAAGGAGGGCGCCAGTAGGTGCTGGTGTGGAAGTGAGCATTGGAGGCCTTGTCTGCCCTGCCCTTCACTTCATCCTCACCCATCAGGCCTTTCTGTAGACATGCTCTTTCCACCCCCCACCGAGGCCTGGCCCCAGAGGTTTTCCTCAGACCCCGAGGCCCAAGGCTGGGGGGTCTGGAGCTGGACTGAGAAGACCCCTCTGAAGCCAGAGGGTGGGAAAGTGGAGGATGATGAGGAAGATACAGGCTTCCCCCCGTTTCTAATGGACAGGGAGGACCTGTCTGAGGACCTGGCTGAGTACTCAGTTCCAGACCAGGTAACAGCTTCGTGGAGCACAGCTGCCTGGAGCATCAGGTAGAGGCTGGCCGGGGACCTTGGGCACCCTGTGTATGGGGGCAGGTGGTGGGGGCAGGAGATGAACTACCGCAGCTCTGACCTCGGGGGTGAGAGGCCACTGTCCCTTGCCTGGAAGAGGGTAGTGGGGATGCCCATCCCTGCACAGGCTGGAGGGAGCAGGGCAACCTGTCTGGCCTGAAGGGGCCTTTGTCTGTTGGGGGAGGATTACAGGAGCTTCTCTGTGTCCCAAGTCCACATGGCCTTCCCATTCCTCTTGGAGAAGCCCCCAGCATGTTCCTGATGGGTCACCAACCCTGAGGACCACTGGGGTCAGGCCTGCCTCCCTCTGCCCTCCCTCAAGAGGGGCCTGGGTGCCCTGCCTTGGGGCTCAGCCTGGGCTATATGCTAGCAGGAGCTGGAGGCCATCAAACTGAAGCTGTGGGCCATGGAACAGGCCCAGGGGCCAGAGCTGCCCAGGGCGCAGGACCAGGTCGGAAAAGAGGAGGCAGCTAGGTCTGTGCTGGCCCAGCAGCGACTGAGTCCTGAGACAGGTAGGAGCCAGCGGGCCAGGTGGACCCCTTCCCTGGGTGGGTGGGCAGGCCCCCGAGTCCTTGGGCTTGCAGCTCTGAGCCCCCTTCCTCCTCTGTAAACCAGGGTGGGCTGTGAGCTGCTGCTGAGAAAGGGCCAGCTCACAAGGAGTGTTGGCCCAGCAGATGACAGTTAAGTCCTTCTAGAACAGGCCCCAGGAGTGAGAAGTGAGCCATAAACATGAGGTGTCTGCCCTTAGCAGCTGCCCAGAGCCCGGCCCACCCCTGTCCTGCTCTGGGGTCCCTGAGAAGGTGGAAATGGACCACAGATCCATGTACGTGGGCAACGTGAGGGCAGAAGGGGAGTGAGATGGGGTCTTTTTAGGGGCCACTTTGGTCTGCTTCTTCCTCCTGATTGTGAGGATTAAAGGAAGGGACTCGGCCCAGCCGGTGTGGCTCAGTGGTTGAACATGGACCCATGCACCAAGAGGTTCCATTTCTGGTCAGGGCACACGCCCGGATTGCAGGCTTGATACCCAGTAGGGGGCGTGCAGGAGGCAGCCAATTGATGATGTTTCTCTCATCGATGTTTCTATTCTCTCCCTTCCTCTCTCTAAAATCAATAAAAACATATTTTAAAAAATAAGGAAGGGACATGTATGGGGGCAAACTCAAAGCCACACAGGCCTGAGGGAAGAAACTAGAGGGTGGTGGGTCTAAAGAGGTGGGAAGGGCCTGTGGGCCTGTGTGGTCGAGTGTTCTGATTCTCCAACGTGAGTGGGAGTCAGGATTTCCACATGAAATCTCCCAGTTGGCCAATCATTGGCAGCAAACTCCACTTTATAAAGCCATACACTCTGCACAGGCCAAATAAACATGGGGGTGTTGCCTAACACATGAGGGTGTTCATCTCGTTTCCCAGTCCACCTCCAACAGGGGTGGGGGCAGAGGCCTGGGCCAACTCCCCCACCCTGGGCTCCAGTCAACCCCTCTCTACCAAGAAAACATGCTGCAGGGGGGCCAGAAGGGGGAGGCTCAGGGGGGAGACCCCCGAGGGGGAGGCCTCTGCAACAGCGCCCTCACCAGGCCGTGCCCGTATCAGGTGGACTATAGGGTCACTGCTGAGGAGCTGGAGGCCTACTTCAACATCTGTGGGGAGGTCCAGCAGGTCACCATCCTGTGCAACAAGTTTTCTGGACACCCCAAAGGGTCGGTACAGGGCTGTGAGGAGGGGGCTGGGCACCCCAGGGAACTGCCCGGCATGGGTGGCCTGGGCTGGCCCTCACCAGCCCTCATTTCACCCCAGCTATGCCTACATCGAGTTTGCTACTGAGCTCAGCCCAGGCTGCTGTGGGGCTGGACAAGAGCATCTTCCAGGGCCGGGTCATCAAGGTGTGTGAGCCCCATGAGTCACCAGGGCACCTTGAGATGGGGGCACTGGGGTGCATGGACTCGCTCTGAGCTTCTCTACATTAAGCCATTAACCCCTGAGGTGCCAGGAATGCAGGCAGAGGGAGGCTGACACACAGAGAGGTTGACACACTGCCCAACCTGACCCTTCTCCATCTCCCAGCATCTCTTGGCACACCTGCTGGGCAGCAGGGAAGGAGTGGAGGCACCCCAGACCCCAAAGGGTTTGTCTTGCATGTGGCACTGGGGAGGCACCCCTCCCAAACTGGATCTCACCTCATGAAGGGAGAGATGTTGGCTAAACAGGGACACATCAAGTGGCCACAGCTGTGTCCAGACAGTTTAGAACTAAGTGGGGATCTTGAGAAAGTGGTGAACAAGATTAGGGTCTGATGCCTTGGGAGGCGCCGTGCCCGGGATGCCACGAGGGTCTGGTGGGCTCTGGGGCCTGTGCACACCACCTGTGAGCTTCCAGCAAAGAAACCCAGGAAGCCCCAAGGATCACTGGCAGCCACCAGAAGCTGGAGAGGAGCCTGGAACGGATCCTCCCTCAGAATGGCCAGAAGGACCCACTCTGCTGACACCTTGACTTGACTCTGGCCTCCAGACGGTGAGAGTACATTGCTATTGTTTGAAGTCCCTTCCCCCTCCAGTGAAAAGGTGGGTGGAAGGTCTGAGTGTCAGGAACCGTGCCAAGGTCACCCAGCAGCTCAGGGCAGAGCCAGGCTTGGTCGAGGAATTTCTGAGCGTGGTCGGGACCATGAGCAGTGGGGCCGCAGGTGAGGCATGCCACCAGAGGTGGTTCCCGAGCTGCAGATTCTGTAGCACCTGGCAGATGACACCAGCTCCTGCCAGCTCAGCACCTTAGGCCTCAGCAAGGGGAGTCTGTGTTGGTCTTGATACCCTCATCATGCGTGTTGGCTTTTCTGTTAATGTCCTGCTGACAGTCTTCTACCCCAACCAGTTCCTCTTTAGATGCATTTTCTTGATCCTTTCTGTGTGGCCACTTCGAGGACAGAGTGAGCCCAGGGGTCCCTCCTTTCCTGTGGACTGCAGGCCTGAGCAGACTAAGGTGGAAGAAGGATGGAAAGCGCTCCTGGACGTGGCTGCCATGGGCTCTGAGCAGTGAGCCACTGAGCAGACTGGAGTGGCTGTGCCTGGAGAAAGCCCGGACACACGGTTTCCCTTGCCCCTGTCTGGTCTGGGCCAGAAGGACAGAAAGGGAGAGGCACTGATGCCCGAGGGAAGACTGACTGCTGGCAGTGAACTTCAGCTGAAGAAATCATCTGGAACAACAGCCAAGGGCTGACTAGGACCTGCAACCGAGAGGCTCAGCCCTGGGGTGGCAGAGGAAAGCCAGGCAGGTGGCTCTCAACAGGCCACCTCCTGTATAAAGATGCAAAAAGATAACGTGAAACTGCCATCTGACAGTTCTGCTGGCAGAACAAAGACTCACACATTACTTCCGACCTTGGTTTCCTCACACTTAAAATGGGAATGCAACCTAACAATGTGTGTGAAAACTCCCTAATGTAGAAAGCACTTATGAGTTGGTTGGCTGTAAATACAGAAAAACCCAAATAGCAATGGCCTCAACAAGGGTTTCTTTTCTTTTCTTTTTTTTACATAAAAAAATACTGAATGCAAGTAGCTAAGAGCTGGTATGTCAGCAAAGACACAGGCTCCTGCTAGCTTTTTGCTCCCTGTCCTTAGGGGATGAGCTCCAGCCATCACATTCAAGTTTTAGGCAGGAAGAAGGGAGAAGATGACAAAGGACTCCATCTGTCATGTGAACCCCCTTTTGAAGTATCTTTCCTGAAAGTCTCTCCCAACATCATTCACTTACATGCCATAAAAACTACCTATCCTTGCGTGCTATGAAAGGTAGGAAATATCTTTTGTCTAGTCAATGGTCCTCAATAATGTAAGTAAGGAAGCAAGGAAGAATGGATACTGGGTCGGCAACTTGCAATCCCTATCAGAGCCACTGCTCAGGCAGAAGAGATCACTATCAAAACCTCAACCATGGACTGCAGGGAAGAAATCCTGTGAGGGGGGGCCAACGGTCCACTGGCATTGCAACCAACGCCTGCTTGGTACTTCTCAGCCCTACTCTAGGTTTCCCACTTCCACCAGCAGTGAGGCAGGAGAGGGGGACTGGGACATGTTTTTAACACACATTCCTAGCTGTTGTTTTTATTTCTGTAACTTAAAAAGTAAACCTAACCCTAACGGGTTTGGCTCAGTGGATAGAGCGTCGGCCTGCGGACTGAAGGGTCCCAGGTTCGATTCCGGTTACGGGCATGTACCTTGGTTGCAGGCACATCCCCAGTAGGGGGTGTGCAGGAGGCAATTGATCGATGTTTCTCTCTCATCGATGTTTCTAACTCTCTATCCCTCTCCCTTCCTCTCTGTAAAAAATCAATAAAATATATTTTAAAAAAAAAAGTAATCCTGTGCTTGTTAGAAGGGAAGGAAATCCAAAAGGGTGCGTAGAAAAGTTCATCTCCCCAACCGAAGGACTTGTATGCATGCATATAAGCATAACTAATGGACATAAGACACTGGGGGGTAAGGTAGGACAGGGGATTGTCAAGGGCAGCGGGGGGGGAAGGACACATATGTAATACCGTTTGTAATACTTATTATAATATTTTTTTAAAAAAGAATAAAAAAAAAAAGAAAAAAAAAAAGAAAAGAAAAGTTCATCTCCCAGTTCCAGCCCTAGGCTCACCAATGTACAGCCCATTCCCCCAGGGATCTGAGCCACTTTCCTCCTGGTCAGAGACCCTCTCCCCAGTGACTGAGGGCGGGAGGGAAGGACTCCTGATGCAGCGTCTGTCTTGGGGCGCTGACTCAAGGAAGCTAGCCAACAGCTGTGTGCGCTGAATACAACTTGGAGCAGACTGTGGGGCTCAGACTCAGCAGGTCCCTGTCGCCTCTCCTACTTCACAGGACACAAAAATGGCAAAGAACCTGGGTGCCTGACCCCAGAAGGGCTGACACGTCAGCCACAGTCAACTATTAGGACTGTCCTCCCGACTTGGCTGAGCAAGCCTCTGGGGATGCAGAATGTAGACATCTAATTACATCAGCTCCTCCTCAAATGTAAGCCCTCCCCCCTCCCCCCGCAGGCAGTTTGCCCTCGAGCCTGAGGCGCAGCAGGGGACTCAGAGCCTAATCCCATCCAGCCCTCAAGCCACTAGAAACACTGTGCACCAACAGATGGAAGAGGCTCCTTCATGCTCAGAAAGCAACAGCCACAGGTGAGATGCTGCAGTTAGACAAAGTGGCCTAGATCTCCTAACAGCTGCCTCCCAAGGTTGGGCCAAGTCCAGACATCAGGCTGATGCAAGACCAGAAAGAGAACTTCTCCCTGTGGAGGAAGTTCTAAATCTGGCCATCGAGGCCTTATACAGCACCCCACCTGGTCAGCCACTGGAGGGCGCCACAAGAGCAGCTGACGGGACAGAGAGGCTGCCCCATGGCCAAAGCCTCTCCAGGGCTCCAAGCTCTGTGGGCTCCTACCAACCAGCTCCCACTGCCCCTTCGTGCCTGTGGGGACAACGGCTCCCTGCTATCTTGTCCCTGACCTCTGTCTGCCCCATCCCTGAAAAGTCCTGCATTAAACTCTCTCTAGTTAAACCGTCGGCAGAAGGAAAACACAAATCTGATGTCACAAGACCTTTAGTTGACATGCACCCCACCTGGCCTTGCACCCATGTGGGGTAAATGATAATAAATACACATCTACACAACACAGTTATGTACAAAACACTTCTCTTCAATCAACAGGCAGCAATCTTCTCACTCAACAGACCTGTATCATCATAGATGTCACCATGCTATCGAAGGCCCTGCAAAGAGAAACAGTGCAACTGAGAAGAGACCTGGCCCTCCACCCCGCCCAGAGGCAGGCTCTGTGGCCCTGCCTGAACCCCACGCCTCTCTGGGAGTCAGTCTTTAACGTCCAGATGAGTGAACTTAGCTGAGAGACCAGGACGTGTGTCCTGCCACACTTGGCAACGAGAATCTAAGTTCCTGCCTCCCCCTTCCCTCCAGGTTTCCCGAGGTCCTGCCCGCTGGATTCCCAGACAGGGTGGAGGAGCTGCAGTGTGGGCGTGCTGGGCTGCAGGGCCCCGAACAGCCCAGGAGACACAGGTTCTACATAACAGCACTGGCTTCTCCCCCCTGGGGCCCAAGATGACCCAAAACACAGTATCACCAGAGGAAGGGCCTGGTTCAGGTCACTGTAGTGTCCTCACACCTATGGGCTGCAAGAAGCCCCTTGGGAAGCGTGTCTAGAAATGTATGGAATTCCCAGGAGCAGGCTTGGAGTGTGTGAATGCTTCTTTCCGAAGCAACTTCATGACATTCCAAAATTAAAAGACTATTTGAAGGCTATTTGAAGATATCTGCAATCCAATTTCCTCACCATTCAAGTTCAATATCAAAGACAAAATTAGGCATTAACAGGAGGATGTTTTCCCAGAAGGCTCCTGTCCATATGCCTGAGCCCTCACTGGGTTCTGCGACGGTGCCCCAGTACCTATTGGGGGCACATGGGAAAACAAATAGGCGAGCTCTGTCCCCCAAGTCCCATCTGTTTTATATGTTGGCGATATGGGTGAGAGTTTGCTTGAAAAAATAGAGTTCTGCTGCTTCAGAATTGCTGCCTTAGGAGAACAGTGTCCATTGCTTAAAAAGACCTTCCCTCCCTCACTTTCAACATCATTGCCTTTTAACAAGGCAGGGCCTACAAATGAAGGTAGCAAACATGATAGTAGGCCCACCTGGACTGAATGCGGTCCCCTGGGTTATAGAAGGGGTTACACATCACATCAGTGTAGGAATTGTGCAGCTTCCGGAACATCTGCAATAAGAACCAACATTTTTAATTCACATGTACACAGGATTACTGCCATATTTTTTGCCTCTCAACATTTTTAAACAAAGGGAAAACAAACAGCCCCAGGCACAGCCTACAGACCCCCTGCACTTACACTGCGAATCTCATTATCACGAAGTGCTGTGTTGGAAGAATCCACCACCATAACAAACTTCACCTTGGAATTGGTCACGTAGCCATATCTGCACAGCTGGTTAGGGAACAAGCTGTCAACACAGGGACTCTGTGACAACATGAAACAGCCTCACTTGAGAGTGTGAAAGCAGAAGGCCATCTGTGCACGCCCCTGGCTCCAAAGCCACTTTGGGAAACATGGCAAACCTTGCATCACAGGAAATGCCCCAGGCTGGGCCTGTCTTGCTGGGTGTGACTGGACACCTCCTGGGGGCAGCTTCTGGTGTTTACTAGAGAAGCAAAGGGCAGGCAGCTAAACCCCACCCTGATTCAAACTCCAAGGCTGTCCTGCCCAGGCCCTGCCCTCTTTATGAATCAATGCTTAGCTTGGTAGTGTTAACTGATAAACTAGAGATTTCACAAAGGACAAATCCTGCCTGCAGTGTCTACACCTCTAAAGGCCACTTCAACTCATAGAACACTGGCTCCCGGGCAAGCATCACTGTGGGCAAGCTACATTACTGCTTGTGGGAACATCTTTGAACTCCGTGGGTTTCAAGCCATCTGCCCCAAGGGAGTGGTCAAGATTTTACAGTGACTTGTGGGTTGCACCTGACAATGAAATGAGTGAACCGATCATTCCTTGCTCAGAAATGGTGGCCCCGCTGAGAAAGAAACCCTTGCAGGCATAAAGTAGGAGCTCCCCAGCTCTTCTATAAACCTGGCAAAGTCACAATTCTCTAGGTCAGTGGTTCTCAACCTTGGGTGCACATTAGAATCACCTGGGAATCTTTTTAAAATCCTGATTTCTGGGCCTCATCCTCTGGAAATTCTGTTTCTTTGTTATGGGGTGAGGCCACAACATTAGTAACAAAAAAACAGAATTTCCAGAGGATGAGGCCCAGAAATCAGGATTTTAAAAAGATTCCCGGGTGATTCTAATGTGCAGCCAAGGTTGAGAACCACTGCTCTAGGTAATTCAAGCCTGGCTTTTCCCACATTATCCTCCTAATTAAAGGAAAAAAGGGCAAAATCTCAATTAGCCTCAAGCGGCCCTAATTCCCCCTGGGCTGAAAGCCCTCACCTTTTTTCTTTTCAAGTGATGA